CCCTTTATTTTGCACTGACTCAGCTGTGGGAAATGCAGGTGGGCTGCCAGATGCTAAGGATTTAATGACAGTAGGTGCTGAGCTTCAAAAGTTAAAGCTTTAGAACCAAGAAAACACAAATTGCCCGCACTCCGTGTCAAACTCTACCAGGCAAATATCTTTAGATCAGCCTGCTGATGGGAGGGGGAGGCAAAAGGGAGAAACTGCCCCACGGCCCAGTGATTAAAAAGGGCTTAGGGCTCCCAGTGCCACTACCCCTGGAGCTCTAGGGCCTTTAAATTGCCACCGGAGCTCTGGTCGGCGCACTCTGGATGGCATTAAAGGCTGGCTGGCCCCGCCCCCTTCTGACTGAGGCCTTGTCCCTTCTGGGAGCCTGGAGCCACCCCCCACCTTGTCCAGGGGCCCAACAATTCTGTCAGCTCCACTACTTTACTTTCAACTCTAACACATTCTCAAGTAGCACGTTTCTAATATTGCCCATCTGTAAATAGCAGTGATCACCAGTGGAAATATTTTCTCTTCAGTTTTGTATGTGTCATGAAACCAACATTCCCCATTAACAATCGAAGCCTTCCCTGCCCAGTTCCACATTGTCAGTGCGTTTGGGAGCACAGTCCTAGGGCTTGGAAGGATTCCATTTTTTACCAGCAAATGTCAATAACCGTCCACGTCAGCTTCCACTCAGGAAAAGAAGGCAATATCATTTCCATAGAGAATAACTTGAAATGTACCGCCAGGCAAAGGAGAGAGATGACTGCCTGAGAACTGGTTGGGGATCTCCTGGAAGCTATTTACTTTCTTGACTCTGACAAGCGACGTTGACAGATTTGTCTTTTAACTGTTCTGAAGCTTTCACTTTTTGCACCTCAGTGTCGTCATTCAGTAAGTAGCATCTTCTAAATGAGACCATTTAAATAAATAAAAAAAACCTTCCAGTGGATAATTATGTGCAGCTCTGAACATTTGAAGTGATAAAAGAAGAAAAAATAGAACGAACGACTGATATTCTCTCTCAAATAACATGACCTATTCTGTGGATTGGCTCATAAAGCCAGACATGTCTGGTGATATCGCTTGACAGAAAAGAGATCAGCATGAAATTCCTTCTACTGACCGTTTTTATACTGCTACCTGTGTATTTGGTTGCACCTATAATAATATGACCTCCTCTCTCTTCTGTAGCACTCGTCATGTGTAGGTCTTCCTGGGCTTTGCCAAGGGAGTCAGTAACAGTGTTCCCATTTGACAGATAGGGAAACCGAGGCAAAGAGGGGCAAGTGACGTATGCAAGGTCACCCAGCAGCAAAGCCCCAGGATGCCTTCCCCCACACTAGAGGCTCCAGCTGAGGCTGAGGCCCAGTTGTGCCAGGTGCTGTACCAACACCTATTAACAATCAATCCCCCCTGATTAGAGCCAACCACTAAAGAGAGGCAGGGACAAATGTGTCCCTGAAAGCTCTTTGCAGCAGGGGCTGGCTTTGTTCTCTGTCTGCACAGTGCTTAGCACCATGGGCACAGGTCCATGACAGGGGCTCTTCAGTGCTACTATCATGTGATAATGGCTCCAATTTTCAGATGGGGAAACTGAGTCACGGCATGTCACGACTTGTGTGAGCATGGCAGGAGTTGGGACCGACCTTGGGACTCAGGGTGTTGTGATCGCTGGCTAGAGGAGTGCTGGGCACCTAGAGGGTGAGGCTGCAGCGGAGGATGGCAGTGGTGCCTAAGTGTAGGACTTGAGCCTCTATAGCATCAGTCAGGCACCTGGGAAGGGGCAGATTGCTGATGTGGGCCTAAAAATCTGTAGTTCTGGAGGTTTCTCGTGCCTATCTTATATTGCTCTCCGGTCCGGCAATATCCGTGGTCTGGCAGTGCCGTGGATGTTGCTGGACCCTAGAGTCCCTGGATCCGAGTGCCCTGGCAGGGAGCAGCTGTCCATGGAGCCCCAATGCCCACCCCTCCCCCCCCCCCGAGCCCTGGGGCCCTGTCAGCCCTGGGGCTGGGGGCTGTGTCCCTGCGGCTGGAGCTGTGAGCCTGGTGGCCCGAGGGGCTGAACTCCCCGGTCCAGCAAATGCTCTCCTTCGGGACTAGTCTGGAGAGTGCTGGACCAGGGAGAACCAACCTGCATTGTCTGACCCCCCATCATTGCTTGCAACTGTGGACATTTAAACCAATGCAAATGGGAAAAGAAATGCTTCAACCCATGATTTTGTGCACCTGTAGACATGTAAACTAATACAAATAAAACTTATTTAACACGCACCTCAGTATCGAGTGTCAAAATGATAAACCGACACAAGCTGCATCACGCCAAGCTATTCCAGCAGCCAGCTTCATTTCACCCCCGGGAGTAAGCTGCTCAGCACAGAACGAAACAGATCGTCTTCCCTAGATCAAAGTGTGACTCTGCACTGCCCCGAGCCAGCCTGACCCCAGGTCAGAACGTTTCCTCTAGGCACAGGCAGGAGCCAGGCCGATGGAAGTAACGAGATAAGCTGGTTCAGTCTGTACTTAGCAGCAGCCTTCCAGGCTCCCCTTCCCCCACCCCAGCACAGCTGTGCCCCAGTGTCACAGAGAAATGGGGCCCTGGGAATGAAATTCAGATGTTTCCATCTCTACCGTGTAGCAACTGCGCTTACGGCTGTTCCAAAAAGTAAAATGCAAAGAGAAAATGGCATGTCCCAGGTATTCTGTGGTGTCATATTACACACTGCGCCTCCTGGATGTCTAGGAATAACCTAAAACTACAGTCAGAGACCCCTGCAATAAACTGCGACATGAACATTCCTCTCGGAAAGCAAGTTTTGCAGTTTTCCCAAACAGAAGATTTTTCTGTTGCAGGAAATTCTGGCAAAAATCAGCCAGCTGCCTCTCAGGGTTTGGTTTCTTGGGAACAGCCTCTTCAGATAACAAACCATTTTGCTGGCAGCCTTCCTACCAGCATCATTAGCCTCACTGCACAGGTGGGGAAACTGGGCACCGACTGGGAGGTACCTTTCCCTAGCTTGCAAAACAGCAAATCTGGGAACAGAATCAAATGCACCTGGCAGCGAGCTAGCTACTGGGCAACACCAAGTCCAGAGCTATCCTAGACCTGTGCGGGCCATCGAGCTCAGTTACACAACGTCAGCTGTGTGAATAAGGGGGCTGAAGGCAATGCATTTAGGCCTGCTTACTGCTACATCTTCACTGCGTTGTGTCGACAGCTGTCGCTCTCCTGTCAACTCCGCTTACTCTTCTCGTCCTGGTGGAGTATCGGAGTTGATGGCAGAGCACTCAGACATCCATGTTTCATGTCTAGACTAGACATGGCAAATCAACCCCTGCTGGATTGATCGCTGCCTCTAGTGAAGACATGCTCCTAGGCACACCCCTACTATCTGGGTTTCCCGAGGGGTTGAACTTAGCCCCGTGCTTCTTACAGCCGAAAGTCCCAGCTCTAAGCTCTGTGCTGGAGCTATGTCCTATTTCTCACCCTCACAGCAGAGATGTAAGGGTAAGCCAAAGGCTGTGGTCGCGCCCCCGCTAAGGGAAGGGCAGACGTGGGGGAAGCCCTAAGTCTTCGGTTCACTGGCAGTTTGGAAAACATCAGACAGGGAGCTGGACTGAGCTGAACCAAGCGGGACATTTGTTTGGATTCTTTGGCAAATCAAATAAGTCTGTGTTGGGTGGGGTGAAGATGTTTCATTCAGCCCCCAATGTATTTCTGGGCACGTTTAAAGGAGTAAATTCAGCAGCCCAGAGGCGATGCCCCTGTTACAAGCTAGAGCCTCGTGCTGTGGGCCCTCCTGTGGGAGCCCCAGGCATATGTCTTCCCTGCCAGCCCGCAAGGCACTTGGGGTGGGGGTGTCTCAGCAGAGCCCGGGAAAGCTGTTCCACTTTGTAGACAATATTCCATTGGCCATGGGGCCCGCTACAGAGAGAATGCCTCATAGACCCCCAGCAGACCTGTCGCGTCCATAGCATGGTTTGGGGACCCCGTCCTTTGGAGAGGCCCTGAGGATCCAGCCCAGCCCAGAGGAAGATGGGGGTTTGGTGTGGGGCGGCAGCAGCAGGAGGGGTCTGGAGGGATCTGGCGCCTGCCCCACCCTGCCCCACCCCCTCTCCCAGCCCACTGTGATCAGCTTCACCATGGCAGCAGGAGCCCCAGGGCACTCGCTTCCTGCCACCACAGCTAAGAGGTGCCCAGAGGGCTCGGAGAGGGCAGCAGGGCCGAACAGAGCAGGATCCTGACACTGAGGTGAGTGCGGGGGGTTGTGCCCTGCTGCCACCTGGATTCAGACCCCTCCCCTGCTAATCCCTGGCTCACCTTGCTCAGGGTAGGGGTGGAGCAGAGAGGGGCTGGGACCGGGCTGTGGGAGGGAGATTACCCTGGGCCTGCGCCACCCTAGGAACAGCCCTGACCCCGCGGCCAGAACTCTGACCTCCGACTGTGACTTTCTGTGTTGTGCAGGCCACAGACCTGCCCTTGGCGCAGAGCTGTTAATAAAACAGCCAGTTTGGGGCTACAAATGGCCTGTGATGACCCCTGGGAAATTGTTCCAAAGGCTAATTACTGACACCGTGGAACAGTCACGTCTCACTTCCAGCCCGACGTTGTCTCGCCTCAGCTGCCAGCCCTGGGGTCCTGGAGTCGGGGGAGTCAAGTATTTATTGTCACGGCCCAAATATCCTGGTCAAGGTCCAGACTCAGGAGAAAATCTCCCAACGATCATGATAAGAAGTAAATCAAAAGATTTGGGGTTCTGTTCAAAAGCATTGGGTAGCCAGCGTCAGACGGAAGGGCCTTTATCACGTATTTTTTCCACAAGCAAGTAGTTCTAGGCCGGGATCACGTTACCCCTGAACTGTCCCTTTGTTAAGCTGAGTAGTTGGAGTTCAATGGGGCTATCGTGTTTTCTAATCCTCTAATTGCTCACTGGCTCTTTTCCCAGCCCTACCCCATCTGGCCTGGTGGTGGGCGAGCCCTGAGTTAGAGTCTGCATTCAAGCCCTGCCTTCCGAGAATGTTTAATTACGTATACAAAATGGAACTGCGTCAGCAGGTTGAATGAAGACATTCCCCAGCCCCAGCTAACTCATGGATGCTTTCAAAGCCCCCTGTGAATCTCACCCAAGTGGGTTTTTATTTGTTGAATTTCTGGCTGGCTTTGGGCCGACCCAAATCTGGGTTTTTTGGCAAACAAGCCATTTACCTGGCAATTCTCTCCCTGCCCCTCCCCAGGAGCAAAGAGACAGGAAGGCTTGGGCTTACCACATCTGCAGAGACCCTGCGAGCCGTACCCCATGTACATTGCCGAGATCCCGATGCTCAGCACCCCAAAGGTGGCACTGGGGCTCTCCAGAGAGTGGGAGCTGACCCCCTCACCCAAGTCATACTCCGCCCAGGAGAAATCTGTGCCCCAGATGGGTTTCCACTGGAGACTGCCCAGCGGCCGCCCGTCTGTGGTGATCACACCAGCTTCGGAGCTCTTTGAGATGATCAGGGCATAGTTCTTGAAGCCCATGATCCCATCCAGGTGGTAGGAACTGCAGTAGCTTGTGATGGGAGGGATGCTGATGATGAAGGGGTCGTACGTGAAGCCAGTTTTGCTGTAGCCAGTGCAGAAGAAGACAACTTGGATTCCAGCACTGGAGGTAATATACAAGGGCTGGGAGTGAGTGATCTCAAGGGTCACCACCTCTCCAGCCACCATGTCCTTCCTGGAGATCTCTCTCCCCCACTGATAACTCAGCTGACTTGTCTGGGAGGCTATGACATACACCATGTCAAACTTGGGCTGGAAAGACAAGGGCGGGACAATGAAGGCAGAGCCCCAGCTGGAGACAGGCAGGAGCTGTTCGACCACGTGGTCACAGGAGCTGTGCTTGGAGGTGCAGCTGTGGCCGCTCAGGACGGCCACGTGTTTCAATGACATGATCCTGGAGCCGGATAAGTCCTCTCGGCTTTGGATCTGGGCAGCTTCAAAAGCCTGGAGGAAAACAGTGAGTCTGCTTCCTGCCGAGTACTTGACCCCTCGGAAGGTCACGTCTCCTGTCAGTAGGATGATGACTATGGTGGGGTCCTGCCAAGCCATCACTGCAAACTCTTTGTAGCGGTCACCCTCCTTGCCGCTGGGCGTAATGGCATAGTACAACCTGCCCATGCTCTCCACAGGGAACACGACGGTGGTTTCAGACGTATATTGCTTGTAGCTGAGGGACAGGACTGTGATGTCTTTGTCAGCACAGATCAACACAGTGCTGTTGAAGATCCCACTGCCCACCATCTCCATGGAAGCTGGCAAATGCACCTTCACTGTCTGCCCTTGCTCCACCGTGATCTCTCTCTGGAAGGTGGAGTTCTGTGCGGTGACGGTGACCAAGGTGACCGCAGAGTAGCCGGTGATGAGCAACTGCAAGTCAGTGTCTCTGACCTTGCCACTGTTCTCCATGAAAGCGGTGATGAACTGCCGGCCGAGGTGGGTGGATTCGCAGGGGCCTGGAAGAAGCACACACAGCACAGAGAAATGAGAGCAGCTCCACATGCCACAGAACACACAACGTGCCACCTGCATGTAGCAGACAAAGGCCCTGTAAGAGCCAATGGCTGGATCATTAGGAAAACTTACCCAGAGCTCTGGATGGATTCTCCATCACGCGCCATTTGTGAACCAGGGTTGCTCTGGTTCAAACAGAAACAAATTTGGGGGCATTCTCTGGCCTGTGTTGCCCATCACGCGCCATTTGTGAACCAGGATTGCTCTGGTTCAAACAGGAACGAATTTGGGGGCATTCTCTGGCCTGTGTTGCACAGGGGTCCAAACCAGATGACCACAATGATACTTCCTAGCCTTGGAATACAAGAATCTCTGACTCTGAAGTGATTTTGTGACAAGTTCATCAGGAGGTTAGATTGTATCTCACAAACTTAGACCACCAAGAGTATTAATGATGAAATGGCTAGAGGCTGGTTAGTTTGACAATGAGCCCAGGCTAAATAATGGACAAGCTGATATAGCATTAAAGAATAGAAATATAATTCTTGACAATCAGCCTGGAGTTGGGAGATAAAAACGTAAGAACAGCCAGACCAAAGGAACATCTAGACCAGCGTCCTGTATTCCCGCAGCGGCCAATCAGACACCCCCAGAGGGAGTGAACAGAACAGGGCAATTTGGAAAGGATCCTGGGATGCTAACATGAAGGATAAAGGAGTCCAGGGCTGTCTACACTGGCGGCTTCTTGCGCAAGAACATCTTGCACAAGAGTTCTTGTACAAAAGGTCTTCCAGAAGAGTGTGTTCACACTGCCATGTGCTTTTGCGCAAGAGCGCCCATGGCAGTGTGGACACTCTCTTGTGCAAGAAAGCTCTGGTGGCCATTTTAGCCATAGGGCTTTCTTGCGCAAGAAATTCATGTTGCCTGTCTACACTGCCTTCTTATGGAAGAGCTCTTGTACAAGAGGGCTTATTTCTCATGGGGAGAGGAATAACTCTTCCGGAAGAAGCCCTGCTTTCCGACACTGTCCTGTAAATTTACTTGCTCAAGAACGCGTGTGCAGTGTAGGCGCTCTGCAAGTTTTTGCGAAAGAACAGTCGTTCTCGTGCAAAAAGCCTGCAGTGTAGACATAGCCCAGGAGAGCTTGTTGTGTTTTAAAGAAGCCTCATTGCCGGCACAAACCATCCCCGTGCACAATAAGAAAAGCAAATATAGAAGGCGGCCAGCTTGGTTTAGCAATGAAAACCTTGGGGAGCTTAAACACAAAAGAGAAGCTCAAAAGAAATGGAAACTTGGACAGATGATGAGGGAGGAGTAGAAATCTATTGCTCAAGCATGCGATGGCGTAATCAGAAATGCAAAATTAAGAAAGGGATAGAAAATAAGACACAGAATATCTTACTGCCCCTGTATAAAACTATGGTACGCTGACATCTTGAATATTGTGTCTAGATGTGGTCTCCTCACCTCAAAAAAGGTATTTTGGCCTTGGAAAAGGTTCAGAAAAGGGCAACTAAAATGATTAGGGGTTTGGAACGGGTCCCATGGGAAGAGAGGTTAAAGCGACTGGGACTTTTCAGTTTAGAAAAGAGGAGACTGAGGGGGGATATGATAGAGGTCTATAAAATCATGAGTGGTGTGGAGAGGGTGGATAAAGAAAAGTTATTTATTAGTTCCCATAATACAAGAACTAGAGGACAGCAAATGAAATTAATGGGTAGCAGGTTTAAAACTAATAAAAGAAAGTTCTTCTTCACACAGTGTGTAGTCAACTTGTGGAACTCCTTGCCAGAGGAGGCTGTGAAAGCTAGGACTATAAGAGAGTTTAAAGAGAAGCTAGATAATTTCATGGAGGTTATGTCCATAAAAGGCTATTAGCCAGGGGATAGAAATGGTGTCCCTGGCCTCTGTTTGTCAGAGGCTGGAGAAGGATGGCAGGAGACAAATCGCTTGATCATTGTCTTCAGTCAACACTCTCTGGGGCCCCTGATGCTGGCCACTGTCGGCAGACAGGCTACTGGGCTAGATGGACCTTTGGTCTGACCCAGTATGGCCGTTCTTATGTTCTTATGTAAAATCCATGGGCTGAATTTAATGCCTCTAAGGGTGCTGAAGGAGTTGGTTGATGTCATTGCAGAGCCATTGGCCATTATCATTGAAAACTCATGGAAATGGGGAGAGATCCCAGATGATTGGAAAAAGGCAAATGTAGTGCCGATCTTTAAAAAAGGGAAGAAGGACAATCCAGGGAACTACAGACCAATCACCCTCACCTCAGTCACCGGAAAAATCATGGAGGGGATCGTCAAGGAATCCATTTTGAAGCACTTGGAAGAGGGGAAAGTGATCAGGAATAGTTAACATGGATTCACGAAGGGCAAGTCATGCCTCACCAATCTGGTTGCCTTCTGTGATGAAGTAACTGGCTCTGTGGACACCGGGAAGGCAATGGACATGATATACCTTGACTTTGGCAAGGCTTTTGATATGGTCTCCCACATAATTCTGGCCAGCAAGTTAAAGAAGTATGGATTGGATACATGGACTGTACGGTGAATAGAAAGCTGGCTACATTGCTGGGCCCAATGGGTAGTGAATAATGGCTTGATGTCAGGTTGGTGGTTGGTTTCAAGTGGAGTGCCATTGGGGTCGGTTCTGGGGTCGGTTTTGTTCAACATCTTTATTGGTGACCTGGATGAGGAGATGGATTGCACCCTCAGCAAGTTTGTGGATGACATTAAGCTAGGGGGAGAGGTAGATACGTTGGAGGTCAGGGATAGGGTCCAGAGTGACCTAGATACATTGGAGGGTTGGGCCAAAAGTAATCTGATGAGTTCAACAAGGACAAGTGCAGAGTCCTGTACTTGGGACAGAAGAATCCCAAGCACGGCTACAGGCTGGAGACCAACTTCCTAAGCAGCAGTTCTGCAGAAAAGGACCTGAGGATGAGAAGCTGGGTATGAGTCAAAAGTGTACCCTTGTAGCCAAGAAGGCTAATGGCATATTAGGGGGTGTTAGGAGAAGCATTGCCAGCAGATCTAGGGAAGTAATTATTTGCCTTTATTTGGCACTGGTGAGGCCACATCTGGAGTATTGCATCCAGTTCTGCTCCCCCAACCCCCACTATAGAAAGGATGTGGATGCATTGGAGAGGGTCCAGTGGAGGGTTACTAAAATGATTAGGTGCATATGACCTACGAGGAGGGACTGTGGGATTTAGGCTTATTTAGTCTGCATATGAGAAGAGTAAAGAGGGAATTGATAGCAGCCATCAACTACCTGTAGGGAGTTTCCAAAGAGGCTGGAGAGAGGCTGTTCTCAGTGGTGACAGGTGGCAGAACAAGGAGCAATGGTCTCAAGTTGCAGTGCGGGAGGTCTAGATTGGATATTAGGAAAAACTATTTTCCTAGGCGGGTGGGGAAGCGCTGGGATGGGTGGGGAGGGGGTGGAAACCATCCTTAGAGGTTTTGAAGTCCCGGCTTGACCAAGCTGGGATGATTTAGTTGGGGTTGGTCCAGCTTTGGGCAGGGGATTGGACTCAATGACTCCCGAGGTCTTGTCCAGCCCTGGCATTCTATGATTCTATGATCCATCCCCTTCCAGCTTCTGGCAGCCAGAGGCTAAAGTAGCCAGAGCCTGGGGCTGTGTCCAAGATCCTCTTGGCTAACAGCCATGGATGGGCCAGTCCTCCATGAATGTATCTAATTCTTTTTTGATCTGCATTACATTTGGCCTTCACAACATTCCTTGGCATAGAAAATAGGCGGATCAAACACCCCAGCTTCATTCTTTGAGGAGATGACAAGTTTGGTTGATGCAGGTAGCTGCACAGATTGAACAGATTTCTATAAGGGGGTTGCCATAGCAACTGCATGAAACAATTAGCTGTGTGTGAAATGGAACCAGAGCTGGAGAAATGTTGGTGTAACAGGTGAGTTGTCAATGGAGAGTCATGATCACAGCAGGGCTCTGCAGGGATCGGTGCATTGTCACCAGCGATCGGGAAGTAAATCATCACTGTTGATACATTTTCTGATGGCACAAAGTGTGGTGGAGAGGTAAAGACCTGCGAAGGTGAGGCCATTACCCAGAGCGGTCTGGATCACTGCAGAGAAAAGGTTTTAATATTTCTCAATGGCAAGTTCCTCCTCTAGGCAGAGGGCTCACAAGCAGCATGCTGGGAAGGGGGCTGGACTCGGGAAGCAGTGGCTCTGGAGAGGATCAAGGGGCCATAATGGACAAATCGCTTGACAGGCACGCCCAAGGCCACTGCAGTTCTTGTCTGTGTAAACAGGGGAACAGCGAGCAGGAGTCGGGAAGTGATTTCCCCTCTGTGCATGGCTTGGGAGACTGGAATCCTTCTTCCTGCATCTCTGGTGTCTGCATTGTAAAAAAGCGATTGAAAGCGTGGACAGGACACAGGGAAGAGCCAGCAAAAGGCTTTGATGTCTGGAGAAAACTGACAGCAAGAGACTTACTGCAGCTCAAAAAGAAGATTGAGAGGTGCCTTGACACCAGTGTAGAAACAACTTCACGGGGAGGAGCGTAGCAGGGGCCAAAGGAATGCAGAAAAGGCAATGACTGGGGGGAAAGCCAGACACCTCGCAGCACCTGGGCAGTGTGTGTGTGTAGGGGAGGGGGCGAGGAGGAGGGGGGGGGGACCCGGAGATGTCCACTGGACTGTGATACACAGGTGGCCAGACTGCAAGATCCCTTCTGGCCTTAAACTTGGTGACTGTCTAAATCCCCATTTGCTTTAGCAGGGATGCCTTCTACCCCTCGACCCCACAGCCAGGAGCTGCTGGCAGGAAACTGGAAAAGTCAGTGTCAGTCCATCAAAGATTCTAGCAGTGCTCTGTGTGTGTGTGTATGTGTGTGTGTGTGTGTGTGCGTCTCTGTGTGTGTGTGTGTGTGTGTGTGTGTGTGTGTGTGTGTGTGTGTCCCTGTGCCCCCCTACTGGAGGGCAGGAGCCCTGCTCTGGGTGGGTGGCTGGGTGGGTGTGTCCCTGTGGCTCCCTGCTGGAGGGGATGATCCCTGCTCTGGCTGTGCATGCCCAGATGAGGGACACACGCAACTCAGAGCATGTTCCCATCCTGCTCTGCTCCTGCACAGCCCATCCTCAAGGCTGGTGGCTCCAGGCAGTGCTGGGCAAGTTCCCTCTGGCAGGGAAAGGGCCCAGCAGGCACCAGGCAGGGTCTCAACCCCGGTTGGGGGCTGAGAGCTCTGCCTCCGGGTACAGCATTCACAGCCACACACACCCATACACCCAGCCAGCAGGGTACAGCATTCACAGCCACACACACCCATACACCCAGCCAGCAGGGTACAGCATTCACAGCCACACACACCCATACACCCAGCCAGCAGGGTACAGCATTCACAGCCACACACACCCATACACCCAGCCAGCAGGGTACAGCATTCACAGCCACACACACCCATACACCCAGCCAGCAGGGTACAGCATTCACAGCCACACACACCCATACACCCAGCCAGCAGGGTACAGCATTCACAGCCACACACACCCATACACCCAGCCAGCAGGGTACAGCATTCACAGCCACACACACCCATACACCCAGCCAGCAGGGTACAGCATTCACAGCCACACACACCCATACACCCAGCCAGCAGGGTACAGCATTCACAGCCACACACACCCATACACCCAGCCAGCAGGGTACAGCATTCACAGCCACACACACCCATACACCCAGCCAGCAGGGTACAGCATTCACAGCCACACACACCCATACACCCAGCCAGCAGGGTACAGCATTCACAGCCACACACACCCATACACCCAGCCAGCAGGGTACAGCATTCACAGCCACACACACCCATACACCCAGCCAGCAGGATACAGTTCTCACCCCCTTACAAAGGTAGGCTGAACCTAGCAGCAGCAGCAGCGTGTTTTCTCTCTCTCTCGTTGCATGGCCGATTCCGGCCAGCAGGGCCGTGCAGGCGAGGTGGAGTGCAGAACTGCTGCTCCCCGGGCAATGAATTCTGGCTTTCCCCACTACCATGCACGTTGGGACCCTGGTGACACTCGTGAAGACTGAGTGTGCAACTAAGCCTCACCAAAGCCCTACCCTTATGCAGCTAGGAGCTGTGCCCGCCGGGGGGGGGCGGGGGGGCACAGGCCGGAGGGGCTCGCGTG